CTAGTCATTCAAAAGAATTATAGAGTTAAACTGAAGTGGTTCGAAGACCAAGAGCTGATGCATTCGATGACGTGGCTTCAAGGTCTTAGAGCAAGAAACTAGTCAAAATTTCAACTTGTCAGAGATCTAAAAACTAAGTATAGAAACAATTCGAGAAATAACAATTTGAAGCGTACCTTTTGAGTCTTGTTTCAACGTCAATTTTATTAGCGTTGATGCCTTTCTAAGATATTATTTAAAAAAGAGTACTCATCTTGAACAAAAGTAATAATAACAATGATAATATCAATAACCAAAGGACCTTACAACGAATCAGAAAACATGATATGAATTCTAGAAGCCCAAAGCTTCAAAGGTTTTATTGTACTGAGTTGAGTAAAAGATTCAATATCAATTATAGAAATAAAGTTTCTATCAATCAGATGCCTTATTACTTTCGAACATCTTCTGATAGTCATATCCTCGACAAAACATGTCATCATTGTGGCGGAATACCAAATAAGAGAGAGCTGTGAAATGTTCAGCAAGCAACCGTGGACGATAATCCTACTCTTGTACGTTGGATCAGCAGTGATCTAATCGGCCCAAAATAACAAATATAAATATAGAGGCAAGACCGAAACAACGTAGATAAGTCTTAAAACGGAGCACTATATTTCGGCTGGCCAAACCAAATATAGTGCTCCGTTTTAAAACTTATCTGCGTTGTATAGGTCTTGCCTCTATATTCATATAACAGAAACCCCCCTGGCTTACTACCTGTTACAAGTACATGCTGGTTTCCTAAAAGTGAATAACCTCTGCGAAATATATCTATTTTCCTTTATTAGTTTATTTTTGACAAGATCGACTTGCCAGGATAAAACCTCCACCAAAAAAATAAACAAAGGCGAAGTAAAAATTCATAGTATACTGCTTTATTTTACGTAAATCATTATTCACTCATCTATGATGGACACTGCTGTAGAACATTTGCGGTCCGTAACAATAGCCAGAGTTTACTTCAAAAGTTCATTAACGCCATTTTGATAACTCATGTACAGTGTCAAATTTAATTCCATTTCATGCACGAGTTCCCGTTTAAATATAATCTAAAAAAGTCCTTTTTTTTAATTGTTCATTTATCCTTTTTCAAAAAAAAATCACCGTTAATTGCAGCATAATTTTTTTTTCTATAGCTTAACTAATACTTTGACTTAGTTAAACATACTTTAAGACACTGACCTATTCAGAAACCGAAATCTTGAAAAAAGAGTTATAAAAAAGATTCCTGGTTAATTTCGATTCTTCCGAAACTAGGAACTCTTGTGTATATTGACAGTCTTGTCGTAAGGAACACTGACGTTGCTCCTGCCTCTGTAGCAAGAAATTTGGGGACATGGTTTGACTCTCATTTGAATCTTCAGGAACAAATCCACAAAACTTACCGATCTGGGTTTTTCATTTATACAATGTTTGGCGTATCCGAAAGTATTTGTCTCAGGAATCTGCATCCACTTTAGTCCATGCTTTTATCATATAGGTCGTATTGATTATTGTAACAGTCTTCTATTTGGTTTACTCGCTGTTCACCGATGTAAACTGCAACGCCTGCAGAATGCAGCTGCTAGGATTTTATCTAATGTACCTCGCTACAGTCACCTAACACCTGTACTATGTTCGTTACCGTCATTGGCTTCCTGTTAAATTTAGAATCGATTTTAAAATACTTCTTCTTACTTTCAAAGCTATCTATGGTTATGCGTCTGGGTACTTGAGTGACTTGATCACTATTAAGAACAGCCGCGCTATAGTCTCCGTTCAGCCAATGGTCTTATCTTAAAATATCGTAGTTTAAAGCTGAAAAAGACTTTTGGGGATCGCGCCCCTTCRTCTGCTACCCCTAACTTATGGAACGATCTGCCCCTTCACATCCGTCGTGAGGACAATTTTGAACGTTTTAAATCTTTACTTGAAACGCATCTTTTTAGACTTGCTTTTCATAGGTAATGTATTTAAAATTTTACGTTACGTACCAAGAGTTTTTATTTCAATTTTTAGCTTTCTTTACTTTTTAGCTTTAATTACTATGTACATTTGAGTTTTAATTTGCTTTTTAACTTTTTAATAGCATTGTACCGCGCTTTTGATTATATCTGCATGGAGAAGGCGCGTTATAAATTTGGAATTATTATTATCATTATTTTTGTTATTATTATTATTATTATTATTATTATTATTATTATTATAGGCTATCATATCTCTCGCACTCAATTTGCTAATTAGATTTTTCCAAAACTTGCTTTGACGCTTGCAGCTAACCTGCACAAACTTAAGCGTTACTTTGCACAGTTTTTGGCTTGATTGATAAACGAACGATTTTGTGTATAGGTGGTTTGCACATTACGTCATGGTCGCCATGTTGGTGGACGTCAACAATAGATATCTCATTGGCTTCTTTTGTTCGTCCACCAGCAGTTGTTCCTTTCACCATTGTTACCTGCGCCTCTAGAGATTGGTTGCAAATCACCTATACGTCAAGATTTCACCTCAAGGAATAGCAGCCACTTGCACATATTACCTAACCTATTTTGTAAAAAAAAACAAAAAAGATATGGACACTGTAGCTTACCTTGACGCAAAATTTTTGCTTTTTTTCTCCTTTCCGTCTATTCCTTGTTTTATTTGGATAATTCACCCCGATTCGCGGATCTACCGGAAAAAAAGGACAATATTGATTCTCGTGGCTTCGAAAGCTTTCTGAGGATTACTTAAACATTTATTTGGTTGTTTGATAACATGTCAGAGAAACTTCACTCTCTAAAAGCAGCTTTGCTGTTTCTGCGCCGCGGCCAAATCAATTCAAATACCTTAAGCGACCATTCAGCAAGAATTGCTCCTTGTTGCAACTTTCAACTCGGTTTGAATTTGCCGCCAAGCGAAGAATTTCCACCCTTACCAAACCTCTGCATGGTTTTGGCAAACTGATACAATTTACTTACGAATTCGTCCCTAAAACTGTTCTAAGACAGAGATCTGTGTGTAAAATTTTTCATAGACCTAGTTCGACACAACACTAACGTTGATTTAGAATTTCTCAACTTCATAATAACAGAAAACTTAAACTGATTTTTCACTCTTACCGTGTCCTCTGTAGCAATAAAACCTTTGTAATGAGCTGGCAAAATTCTTCAAGAGCAAGAAATTACTCAGTTTGGCTAGTTACTTTTGGTGGGAGACATTAGTTTTTTTTTATATATTTTTCCTTCGAAGTGCGGCAGTTAAGACCACGAGGAACAGTGCAGCAAAATGCAAATTACCTGAAAGCTTTGCACGTGCAAATTTAGCCTAGCGAATAAATTCTGGAAGCGAGCTGAGATATGTGAAGTATCAAGTGTTGAGATTGAATATCATTAAGGGCTTTACACTTGATTTCTCCGAGAGGTGATTGTCGGATTTTTTGCCATATATCCTTTGAGTTAAAATGGATTTGGGAGCAACTTCATAATACTCGCCATCTCATTTACATGTGTCGGGAGTCTTTGAAGAATGAGGCATAACACAATAGACGCTATTCTTATTTAATGACATGTAAATAAATGGCCGGGTATTCTGAAGTTTAGCCCGGATTTGTATGGATATGTATAAATCACTTGTCTGCTTGATATGGATTGGTAGTGTAAGGGAAAATTATATTCTTGGCCACTCATGGGAGTTGAAGGGTTAAATTAAAGTCACATATGATTAACCGAGAAGAGGCAATTCATAAATTATTTTTACAGAGTTGATTGAAGGAAAAGTGAGTTGAGGTAAGAGTTTACTCTCATTTAACGTCGCGCATTTGTCATGCTTAACACTTAAAAATTTGACCTTTTACATTTTCAGGACCTTAAATGCGTGATTCAACAGCTATATTGTGGGGAGAAATTTAGGGTTTAAATGGTGGAAATCGCTGATTGTGAGAGGTGGGGTAAAATCCAACCAGTTAGAAGTGAGGAACTGGGAAAATATGTCCTTTCAATCAATGAGATGACATCTTGCTAAAGAAAGTACTATGAGAAGGGTCATCAAACTGTCAACAAAAGATCAACTTGGAAATAAAGTAGACTCCATCGCAGAAACGTTGACACTTAACAGCGTTTATGATAAACGATGAGACCTTACTGCTTTACCCGTCAGATGTACATGACAACCTCCAATGGTTGCAGGTGGTAAATTATAAAAGCTTTCCAAGTTTTTATAAGAAAGGATTATCACAGGAAAAGATTTGACATGAACATTTGAAAATAAGAATCACTGATTATGTACCCGCGCGAAAATTTTCCATAAAGTTGTTACGTCTCATTTTTTTATAGATCGTGCTTTGATGATGTCAACGTTTTTGCAATCGAGCGTAGGCTCTAGTAACGGGGCTTCATTGACAGGTAAGTAAAGGAACAAAACAAGAACAAGTTTTTGGGTAGTTAGGTTTAATTTGACCCGTGAGAAAATACCTAGATTGCCAGGTAGGCAATCAAGGTGGAAGCAGGTAGGAGCATCTGTCAGAGGTGCGTGTGATTCGCGTGGAGACTCGCGAGGGGAAAGTGGAGATGACGGTAACGAAGTGCTAAAGACAGGAGAGTCTTGTGACTGCCTTTCAACGACGATCTTTTGTTGTCATAAAAAAGTTTAATTTCAATTGAGCTTTCCGGGCTTAAACTCGGTAATGGACATATAGTATTTTATTATAGCAATACTGGGGCCTTTGTGAGCAACGAAAATATTTTCCGTAAGAGTATGCAAGGTGCATGAATAAGAAACCCCACAAGGGTAGTAGCCGCTTTAACATACTCCTTCTAAACACCCTTATTATTTAGGCCACAGACGCACGCGCTCTCGATTGAAGATGCAATTTCCAAGCTACTGCAGTTATCATCCCCAGAGCCACTCGCGACGTAAAGGATACGAGGGCCCGGCTGGGAGCGAAAATTAGTCAGGATAGCTGTGTGTTATTTACCCATAGCTGCACAGACCAGACAGCCTATTCAACAAAAGCATGTCACTTGAACGAGTTTTATTGGATGACACACTCGCTGGCTTTCTGAAACAACCTAAACACAGAATGAATATATACTTTAATCTTAAAGCATTTTTCAGAAGATAAGACGCGTATGGATTGCCTTTAAATAAACGTTTGATGAATGCTTTCAATTTGGCGACTGTCGTCGATGAACGAGGTTGAACTAACTGTATTATCGGAGAAAATTCCTAACTAAAGATTTTTGATCATGATGTTCGGAAGACCATTTCGCCTTCTCTTCCAGGAGCCAAGTTCTTTAGATTCCAGTCTGAGATATTTAAGCCATCTCCGATAATCCCGGCTCGTAGAAGCTCTGAATCTGTATGTCTCCTTACCCATCAACACAATTTCGAAGGCGTCCTTTAGCTCTGCAACAATAAAGTGAACTTCGTAGTCAGTTAAAGTTATGATTTCATTTATCCATGTCTGCAAGAGAACGAGATTTATAAAATAACTGAGATAAAACGAGCACTCTAATTTGGCAAAACCTATCGTTAATTGCACCAGTAAATCTATAGTTATTTTATAAAAGCAATACACTGCAATTTCATTCAGTTTACTGACGTCATAACTGACAGTTTAAACTTACCACATTCTTTATAAATGACGCACATGTCTAGAAACAATGGTTCCTGAGGAGAAAAAAAGAAAACGATCAGTAATGTTCTAAAAAAAAAGCTAAAGAGATGAACGAAACAAGAAAACGGAGCTTAATTCTGCAAATAAAATTAGTAAATTTCGCAATATTTATAGAGGGGAGTTGTAACCTCCTTCAGAAGCGCGGAAAAACTAGGGCAAGCTTCATAGCTGTCAGTGTTGGTAGCGATGCTGACTGGCTGATAGTGAATAATCATCTTCACAGTCATTGGCTACACCGTTTTGTTATGACCTCTTAAACATGTTTAAAATCCCTGGGATTTGATGCGAGAGCTCCCATAGCCCGGGGATTAAGCGGCAGCTGAAAACTAATTTGGATTCCCGAATAACTGAATCTATGAAAGTTTGGAAGAAATGAAGCATTTGTCACGCCTGCCAGGTCCAGGTCCTCTCGTGGACAGGCTCTTAAACCTAACAACCAAGGACCCTACAAGTACACCCTTCTGGATCCTAGGACCAGGGGGGTCTCTAGGACCTGGATCTCTCGTGGACAGGCTCTTAAACCTAACAACCAAGGACCCTACAAGTACACCCTTCTGGATCCTAGGACCAGGGGGGTCTCTAGGACCTGGATCTCTCGTGGACAGGCTCTTAAACCTAACAACCAAGGACCCTACAAGTACACCCTTCTGGATCCTAGGACCAGGGGGGTCTCTAGGACCTGGATCTCTCGTGGACAGGCTCTTAAACCTAATAACCAAGGACCCTACAAGTACACCCTTCTGGATCCTAGGACCAGGGGGGTCTCTAGGACCTGGATCTCTCGTGGACAGGCTCTTAAACCTAACAACCAAGGACCCTACAAGTACACCCTTCTGGATCCTAGGAGAATTTCCAGGGAGTCTCTAGGACCTGGATAGATTTGTTATAAATGAAATCGTGTTTCACGTAGTTTCAAAGTCACTTCATACCTTGAATAAAGTGTACTTTCCACTCATCTTTTTTCTTAGGAGAACCACAGCAGCATCGGTCACTTCACCCTCTCCGGGGAACAAAAGATCCTCACACTCCCCCTCATCGTCAGAGTTAATTCGCACAAACTGTGAAGAAGGAGAGAAAAGGAAAATGCGATCTTATAGATGTTTTATGGAAAGAAAGGACTCTTCTTAATCAACTGACTNGTCGTAACCTCCTTCAGAAGCGCGGGAAAACTAGGGCAAGCTTCATAGCTGTCAGTGTTGGTAGCGATGCTGACTGGCTGATAGTGAATAATCATCTTCACAGTCATTGGCTACACCGTTTTGTTATGACCCCTTAAACATGTTTAAAATCCCTGGGATTTGATGCGAGAGCTCCCATAGCCCGGGGATTAAGCGGGAGCTGAAAACTAATTTGGATTCCCGAATAACTGAATCTAACTATCTGTGAAAGTTTGGAAGAAATGAAGCAATTGTCACGCCTGCCAGGTCCAGGTCCTCTCGTGGACAGGCTCTTAAACCTAACAACCAAGGACCTTACAAGTACACCCTTCTGGATCCTAGGACCAGGGGGGTCTCTAGGACCTGGATCTCTCGTGGACAGGCTCTTAAACCTAACAACCAAGGACCCTACAAGTACACCCTTCTGGATCCTAGGACCAGGGGGGTCTCTAGGACCTGGATCTCTCGTGGACAGGCTCTTAAACCTAACAACCAAGGACCCTACAAGTACACCCTTCTGGATCCTAGGAGAATTTCCAGGGAGTCTCTAGGACCTGGATAGATTTGTTATAAATGAAATCGTGTTTCACGTAGTTTCAAAGTCACTTCATACCTTGAATAAAGTGTACTTTCCACTCATCTTTTTTCTTAGGAGAACCACAGCAGCATCGGTCACTTCACCCTCTCCGGGGAACAAAAGATCCTCACACTCCCCCTCATCGTCAGAGTTAATTCGCACAAACTGTGAAGAAGGAGAGAAAAGGAAAATGCGATCTTATAGATGTTTTATGGAAAGAAAGGACTCTTCTTAATCAACTGACTATTTTTACTAATCTTCCCTCGTAGTTCTAAGAGGGAGGGGGAAGCGAAAACACAATTGTGGCGTGGTCGAGACGACTCTTTCGTTTATCCCAGTCTCCTCTTTTCCCAAACTCTTCTCGTTCTAATCCCTCTGGCGAAAGAGCCTCCAACTCCAAACGCTCGAAACGTCAGCTTTTGTAATCGTTACGGTGGCCAATTTACCATTTCAACTTTGTTGATATATCCAAATTATTTCGTTACCCCCACCGACGCAGCCCCAAACAGTTTCTTTAGAAACTATCAGCCTTTATTCACAAGGGGCCGAGAGGGAGTCTCTTCAAAAGGCCCTTGAAGAAGAGTTTGTTCTAATATTTTTGCTCGTAAACTACAACGTTCCCAACTTGGCGCATTCTTCGACGTGGTGAAATTACCAAATAATAACACAGGAAGGAGTAAAGTATGTACTCCACCCAATTGCA